CTAGTGTCAAACTCTGCAAAGACAGCATTTTGTCTTTGGTTGTCCGACCTGATCTGTCTTGGTGGCTGTCTGCTGCACGATCTCAACATCTTCCTCACAGACGAAGCCACAGGCCGACAGGTTGTCCAGGATGCACTGAATGCTCCTCAGCCTGGACACCAGCACTTCTCTGTGGTAGGTGAGGACATCACCGTAGGACACGTTGGCTTCTTCTATCTGACCCATGTTCACTGCAGAACAGTCACCTCTGTGGGGTAACAGATGGCAGGACAGATGCAAGATAATACGTTTGGAAATTCTACACTGTAATGCAATGAGTTATTTCAATGTAAAAAAAAAAATGCTGAAGCAGATAACTTAAAAAAATGTAAGTATTACCGTACACACTCATTTTTGTAAGTTAAAAAACATTCTTGATCAAGTACTTTTAACTTTTACTTTACAGTACAAATAAGTAGTGTCACTGACAATTACTAAAGATACTAATTTCCGTTTCAATATTTTTTGAGTAAAATGAATTTATCTGGCATCATAGTGTAGAGAAACGTTTAAATAAACTGTTTCATTAATCCTTTAATGCTTCCGATTTTGTTAACATGACACAGCTCAGTGAAGAAGAACCGGACCGGTTAGTATGTGTCATACAGACTTACAGCAACACTCCCTCGCTCCAATTAACATAATGTTTTACCTTTTCTACGAACTCATCTCCTGACATTTAGCTGAAAGGAACCCCGGTGAACCAAAAGTTCCAAACACTGAGAGCCGCTGCTCGTCGCCTCTTCAGCCCCAGCTGTGTTCAACCAGCGCAGATACAAGCTAACGTTAACTGTTACTCCACAACAAACTTAACGACACATTCAACCTACCATAGTGTTCCGTCCGGTGCACTAAGATAAAAACCGAGCGCTGAGAGGAGCTAACTACTGGTAAATGCTACAGGAGCCCACTGGGTTACTTTCTGTACGCTCCATCCACCGTGTGCCCGCCGTTCAGCCCTCTCTGCGGGAGGAAGTGAAAGTACCAAAGACGAGCAGTGCGTCATTTCTGCTCAACTCTTTCACAACCTGCACGCGCTCCATTCACTTCCCGCGCCAATGTGGGAATTCAAACTACACCAAGTATTTCTTTTCTTTCTCCTTTAATGCACAATGAGATTATACATTATCATCATTATTATATGATATTACTACATAATTGGTAACACCTGTGATTACCCTACTATTTCATGTCAAAATGGCTGCTGTGAAAAAGGCCCTTCATAGGCTTTGAGATGTGGTTGAAAGCTGGGAGATTTCCAGAACAGAAGGAAAGCTGTTTACAGGTTGTTATCATGGACTGCACAGTGATGACAGGTTTATTCAAGAGTGTGTCAGTAAGAGCATAAACACACAGCAGAATCAACACATCATCATTCAAACACAGTGATTCATTCTAAGTTAATAAGATCAACCTCATAATGATATGAGAATAGTATATTTACTGTACGTTTTACAACTAAACAATGTTCAAAAGTAACTGTTTCCATTGTGTTCACACTGTACCTTCAGGTTGTAAACATTGTTACATGTCAGGTTGTAGATGGATCCAAATAAAGAAAGGCTACCATTGCATGCTTTAAGATACATACCTGCATTATTCAAAATACACAATGTTACAAAGTTCATAACAATGAACTAAATATGTCAGCGATCCTCAGGACTGTTCCCCACAGATGAGCCATTATTTCCTGGTAAAGATAATATGATAAAGCAGTCAGCCTTTTAAAGACACTTTCTAGCACATCAAAAAAATAATTCTGACAAAATGTATTTGCTATGCTGTGCCTACTTCGATTCTCACACTACTTAGTCAGTCCAAACTGTGAATTTGGCCATGTCTGTTTTCTGTCCATGTTGGGAATTCAAATGGCCACATATGTCCTGTTTGTGTGCTTTAACAACCAGGCAACAACTTGGCTTCCCTGCGTAAAAATGTTAATAATATTCATTAATTATTGATTTCTACCTTAATTACACCTACTGGCCTACTGTGTAAACTGTAAGTGTATGTGTTGGGGGGTGCCAACAAGCTTAGCAAGCTGGTGAGGAAGGCCAGC